TCTCTCCGTCCTCCCCCTCCTCTTTCTGTCCTCCCTTCCCCCTCCCCTTTCGGTTCTCCCAGAGCCCTGTCTGAGTAGTGTCCATGACCTTGTTAGCACAGCGGGTATTTCTCACTGCTCTTCCTCCTCCTTGCCGTCCAGTGAGTTCTGACTGGCAGCTGACCCTCCACTGGCCTTCTGAGTGTAAACCTCACGAGAAGAGACCACCCTTCTTTGTCCTGAGGAGCTGCTGGTGGATTCAAACCTCCAGTTTTCCTGGTGGCTGTGCAGTGCCCTACAGGCTGTGCCACCGGGGCCCTGCCTCCTCCAGTGCTGCTCTGACAGGTCACAAACAGAAGTGTACTTTCTCACACTCTGGGAGTCTGGAAGTTCAAGTTGAGTGCCAGCTCTCAGAAGGCCCATGCTCTGTCAGCTCCCTGGCCCCATCCAGCACCTGTGCACCTGGCAGCACCTGCAGGTCTCCTGGGTCTGGCACGTTGGGTCAGAACCACCTCAGCAGCAGCCTTTAGATGATACTTCCGGTGTTCTCTATTCACATGAGCCCCCCTCTCGGGCGTTCCTTCAGGAGCTGGCTGGGTCTGCTTTTCTCAAAGCACAGTGGGGTCTGGGGGTGAACAAATTGCAACCAGGAGCATCACAGGAGAGATAAAACTTATACAGCAAGGCAGGGGCTTGGAGCAGAGACACTGGGCCAAGCCACGCTCATGCATTCAAATACAAAGGAACTTTTAAAGGCAAAGCTCTTGGCAAAATGAAAAAGAATATTTTATCAGTCATTTCTGGCAGGACAGCGTAGAAGCGCTCCCAGATGAGCTGCAGCTGCCGACCAAGCCACCGATAAGGGGCTGGTGTCACGAGCCTGTGCTTCTGGGAATGGCAGGGCCCGTGCCACGTTCCCCCACCCTGGTGTGGAACGAGGTCAAAGGGAAGCAGGGCACCGCTGGGTGGCTCTCAGATCTGACAGCTACAGCGAGGTCACACACGTGACTGACGGTGCACCCCTAACCCTGCAGTTACAGTCCCGCCTGAGCGTTCTGTTGCCGCCTGTGCCTGTATCCGCTGTGTGTCCTACCTCCATCTCACGCAGCAACCCAGTTCTCACTGGCATTAAGCTGATTCCTGCTCATAGCAGCCCTCCACCGGGTGTCCAAGGCTGTGAGTCTTCACAGCTTTCTCCAGAACAGCTAAGGGTGCACTTGAACCACTGGAGATGCATGGCCTTTGGGTTAACAGTGCAGTACACCACAGACCACCCCACAAGAGTCCTGATAGGACACTGGGAGGACTCCTGGCAGTCTGCACCTTGTTACACTGTCCAAAAGGCCTTGTGTGGTTGGTGGTTCAAACCCACCAGAGGATGGAACTGTAGGGGACAGAGGGGGGCTGTAGAGGACAGAGGACGGGCCCTGGGGCCTAGCACAGATCAGACCCTCTGTCCATTTCCAAGGGAGCACAGGGAAAGGTCGGAACTTGGAATGTCATTTGGGGGGACTTGGTTTCTAATCAGCTTTCAGCCAAGTGTCCAGTCCCACTGCTCAGAGACGGTGCCGTGGGCCTAGCCGCCTCTGCCCACGGTGTGCCCAGCCTTTGCTGACCATGGCGCAGCCAGCTTCTGTCCTTGGCCAGTGGAAGCCCAGCCAATGCCCTGTGTCCTCTTGTCCAGGCTACCAGATTTCCTGGGAGGTATATGGGAAGAACGAGTCTCGCCTCGCTCACACCCTCAACAGCACGACGCATGAGTACAAAATCCAGGGGCTGTCCTCGCTCACCACCTACACCATCGAAGTGGCTGCTGTCACTGCAGTGGGCGCTGGACTGGTCACCTCATCCACCATCTCCTCCGGCGTCCCCCCAGGTCAGTACCATCATGAGAAAGCTGTTCCAGGTCCCTGACTCAGTGCACACTAAAAAAGTCTTTGCTTCCCCCTGAGAACCTGGAAAGGAGCTGTCATGGTGCAATGGTTAAGTGCTCACCTAGTGACCCAGGGGCTCTGAGGGAGAAAGATGGAGTGACCTTGTGAACGCAGAGCCCCTCGACACCACAGCCCTCACATGACTCACCAACAGGCACCCTCCACTGGGTTCCAGGGACGTGATGCCTACTGCCCCTCCTTCTCCTGCACGGCACCTGCTAGATCCAGACTGCCCACCCACACTTAAGCTATCGTGTCACTAAGGCTCCTTCCATGGACATGATAGCCTGGGACCCATGGACAGCTCTGCTCTGTCACCGGAGCCTGGAGCTGGCCCCAGCTCCTTGGTCTAGGGCTTTGATCTTGGTGGTGCACAGCCGCCTCAGGGTAGGGGCGAGGGAGTGGCATGAGGGTGAGGGAAGTGGGAGCCTGGGACACAGCAGTGAGCCATGATCACAAAGTCGCGTGACCCTTCCTGTCCCCTCCTCACCCACAGCCTTCCAGGCAGTTCCGGTGGGGTGGGATTCGAGCCGCCGCACCGCCAGGGCCCCTCTGTGCTTCACACTCTCACTTCCACTTGGAAAGAGAGTGCCCTGACATTTTCTCTCTAGGTTTAAATTTCATGTGAAAATGAAGGCATTTTTCTAAGGAATTCACATGTACATGCAAATGTAAGGAAATATTGTGGGGTCACCAGATGGACATTGACTCCCAGGCAGCCTGTAACCGGCTCAGTTCTCAGAAGAAAGCCAGAGGTCCCTTGGTATGTGAAGCGTGGCACTCGGCTCGTGTTGGTCTTTGAGAAAAGCTGGACACAGCAGGGTCGATTCTGATGCCCAGCAGGCCTGCCGCACAGCGAAACTTCCCCTTAGAAGACTAGAAGTTGGCGGAGGGGCTCTCCGGGCTCAGTGGTGTGGAGATTCCCCGTCGGTGCACAGGCCTGTGGTTCGAATCCCTCAGCTGCTCCACGGGAGAAGGGTGGGCAGTCTGCTCCCGTGCGACTTACTACTTCTGAAGGGGCAGCTGTCAGTCGGTCCCATTTCACAGTCCACATCAACAAGGACAAATCCTTCCAGAAGCAGCCGGCGTCCTCTCTCCCAGGCGCGACTGAGAGATGCGAGGAGCCGGGCCCTTTAACTAACATGCTGCCAGCGCTCCTTCGGTTATGGGTGGGCTGACCTCCAGTCTACCTGGGCATCCCCTCCTTGCCACATGTCCCCCTGGAGTTGAGAGAGGAGACCCCAAGGAGCGGGAGGCTGCTGGTGTGGGGGTAAACCTTGACTTTTGGTCTCACTGCTTACTGCACCCCAGCACTGCCCCAGCACCGTGGACGCTGCACCCCCAGACAAAGCAGGACCCCAGGTATTCATGCCAGGAGCCGCGCTCTGTTTGCTGGGTTGATGGCTGGCTGCGTCCCTCCTCGCCTGGAGAGCCGTTCAGATGCCAGCGAGCTGAGGAAGCTGACAAGTGTCACTTGTCCTTCGGCTGAAACATTAGGTGCTTCACATCCATTACCGGAGACGGAAGGGCCCTCAAGTTCCTGTGGCCCTGCTGGTGCCAATGCGGGATTGATCGCCTGAGTCCCTGTCGTCCCGCCTCCAGGCTTTACCGCCAGCAGCCGATCAGAGCAGGAAGCCGCCCTGCAGGGAGCTCGCAGCCAGGAAGCGGCTCTGCTGCCTCGGTGGTGTGTGAAGACGCATTTGCTAGCCGAACGTGGGCAGCTCGCATGTACCAGCTTCTCTGAAGGAGGAGGACAAGGCTGCCTGCCTCTGGAAAGCTCTGAGTCGGGAAGCCTGCCGGGCGAGTCTGCTCCGGCCTGTAGGAGCAACGTGAGCCAGACCCACGCGTACGATGAGTCTTCAGTGTTTAACCCAAGGGGCCCTGACGGCGCAGCTGCCCACGAAAGGACCACACCCATCAGCGGCTCCTTGGAAGAAAAGTGAGGCGATCTGTGTCCAGAACGGCCACAGCCTCGGAAGCCCCATGTTGTTATGTGAATCGAGTCACCTGCACTCAGCACCCTGTATACACTAGCTCTGATCCCTGCCCTAACCTGAGCCAGTCTCACTGAAACACCTAATCCCATTGCCCCAGTTACCATGCCAAACCATCCTTTCCTGTGCTCTCCCTCCACCTTCCCAAGCATGATGTCTTTCTCCGAGAACTGGTCCCTTCTGGCCACGTGCCCAAAGTATGTGAGACGGAGCTTCAAAAGCCAGCCTCCAACGAGAAACTTGGTTTCACCCTCTCCAAGACAGACCTGTTTGTTCTTCTGGTGTTCAGTGGTATGTTCAATACTCTTCTCCAGTAACACGTTCAAAGGCATCAGTTCTTTTTCATCCTTAGTCGTTGTGCAGCTCTCTGATGCCTAGCAAGTATTTGCAAAGACCATGGCCTGGATCAGGTGCGCCTTAGTCTCTAGACTGACATCATCATCGTCATCGTCATCAACTTTAGCACTTTGGAGAGGTCCCTGATGGCAGACTTCCTTAATGCAATTCATCTTTATTTCCTGATTACTGGTGCCTAGAGTGTTGATCGTAGAGCCAAGCAAACTGAAATTGTTAACAGCCTCAATCTCTTCTCCATCCAACATGGTCCAGTGGTAAGAATCTTTGTCTTCTTGATGGTAAGCTTCAATCCACATTGAAGACTATGGTCCTTCACCTTCTGCAGCAAGTGCTTCAGGTCCTCCTCAGTTTCGGAATGCACAGTTGTATCATCTGGATAACACAAATTCTTGATGAGTCTTCCTCCAATTCTGATGCCACATTCCTCCTCCTAAAGTCCAGCCACCCAAATGATCTGTCCTGCATACAGATTGATAAGGTATGGAGACAGGGCACATCCCTGACATAGTCTTTTCCCTATTTTGAACGATGCAGTGTTTGCTTGCTCTGTTCTGACGACTGCCTCCTGGTCAAAGTATAGGTTTCTCATGAGCTCAACAAGTGTTCTGGGATTCCCATCCTTCTCAAGGTTAGCCACAGCTTGTTGTGATCGACACAGTCTAATGCCTTTGCATAGTCAATGAAGCACAGATAGACATTCCTCTGGTTCTCTTTGCTCTCAGCCAAGATCTACCTAGTATTGGCAATAATGTCTGTAGTGCCAAAGCCTCTTCTAAACCCAGCTTGTTTTTCTGGTAGCTTTCTGTTAATGATCCAGTCATTTTTTGGATAATCTTCAGCAGGATTTTGCTTGTGTGTGATATTGTTTGATAATTTCCACATTCTGTGTAAGAGTCACCAGGAGACAGAATCGATGATCGTAAGTTTGGGTTTTGGTTCATTTTACCGTGCTGTGAAGCACCCACCCCCACTGAGTCAGTTATACCACTGAGGCTGAATAGCTTCACAGAAGGTGACTGGCCCATCATGTGGAGGCTGGTGGTCTCAAACCATGAGGCCAGCGTAGAACCCACAGCACCCCCGGGACTCTCTTCACAGTGACGGGGCTCAATGGTATGGGCTGTCCCTCTTGTCAGAATGGCCTAGGGTGCTGGGACACTTCTCACCCCAGCGTCCCTGCCCCACAGAGAGGCGTCCACCACAGCCACCCTCAGAGACAGGCCTTTCCCGAATCCCCTTCCCATCTGGTTGCCACAGCAACTGAACAGAGGGCAAGAGTTCTACATATTCACCTGAATCTGGTTACCTGGAGACCCTGGACCCCTGCCCATGGCAGGCTGCCTGGAAGCCACACCTGGGCACGCCCGTGTGTCTGCTGTCTTCCCCAGTCTCAATTCTAAGATGTGAGGTGACCACAGAAGGCAAGCGGTGACTCCACTCTGCAGGGTGTCTTGGGAGCCGGAAGCATTCCACTGTTGATTCACTCATTCATTCTGTTGCATTCAGCAAGTGTCAACTAACTACAGCAGTGAGGAACCCCAGTGTGAGGTGGTTGAGTCCTTGGCTACCAGGGAGTGGACATCTGGGACCAGCCCGTCCCGGGAGGAAGAAGCGGCAGTCTGCTTCTGTCTGGATTAGTTTTGTCCTCATTGGCTGTCATTACCTCACTTCTGGCTCCCAGTGACCCATGTGCCACCAAACAGAACATGCCCGCCTGGGCTCTCCTCAGCCTGGCCGTGTCCCACACGGCCGTTGTCTCAGCCCAGGTCTTCCCCCTTCTCCATGACTTCACCAAGCATGATGTCCTTCTCCAGGGTCTGACCTTCCACAGAGCATGTTCCGAGGGTAGGGGAAGGGCTTACCACATCCCCCGCCCAGGAGCATTCTGTACGTCTTCACAGACAGCTTGGTTTGATCTGCTGGCACTTCCCAGCCTAGTCACCCCTCTCCGCTGGGACTGTAAATAAAGGCGCTCGAGTCTTCCTGGTTCATTGTCCGGCTGTGTAGAGGGCAGCCTGGCTATCCCTGGCAGGCAGGTGCCTTGCTGACCAGGCACTCACTGCACAGCACAGGCTATGTTTGACAGGCATGAGGCAGCTTGGTGGCACAGTGGTTGATGGTTCAAATGCTAATGGCAAAGGTGGTGGTTCAAACCCTCTTGGAGGCCCTGCGGCAGAACAGACCAGACAGTCTGCTCCCATAGAGAGCACAGTCTAGAAGATTCCATGGGGCAGTTCTGCGGGGTCACCGTCAGTCGGAATCGAATGGGCAGACGTGGCAGCACGTGTGTGGACGTGAGTGCCGCGGACGGAGGTCACATCAATACCACGCCCCCTAGGACCGTTCAGAAACATGGAGCATGACGTGACCCACTCAAGGGTGAATTGTGCTCGGTGATGCTTTCGGGCAGGCGACCCTGGTCTTCTACCCGCGTGGCCTTGGAGGCAGAGTCCTCTCTTCTGGCTCTGGAGGCCTCCCTCTGTAGTGCTTTATTGCACTTTTCACGTCCTGTGGTTTCCAGCTTGTGATTGCAGCTTGTGGCAACGCTGTGCTGAGCCAGCCCACGGGCGTGCTTCGTCGACTACTCATTCTCATCTCACTGCTACCAAATCAGAACTGAGACGCAGCCGCCCTTTGTTTGGCTTCTGAGACTATAGCCCGTCTTCCTCTTGCAGAACTGCTGGTGGATTCGAACCAGATACCTTTGAGCTGGCAGCACAGCTCCCTGGGAACCACACTACCAGAGCTCCCCTCATGGGCCACAGTGCATTGGAAGCCTAACTTTCCTGTCCTGTGGGGAGTGACACGTTAGTGCACTCTTCACTCCTCGGGTCTGGCCCGAACCTGCGACGTCTCTGCCTGTGGAAAGGCATTTCGAGTTGGGGATGTACGAGCCTGGAGACCCTTCCTCTTTGTGACCATGTTTGTGTCTGCTACCCTCGCCCACTTCTCTCCAGAGCTCCCGGGCGCCCCATCCAACCTGGTCATCTCCAACATCAGCCCCCGCTCGGCCACTCTGCAGTTCCGGCCTGGCTACGACGGGAAGACCTCCATCTGCAGGTGGATCGTGGAAGGACAGGTACGTGCCCCCTTAACACAGGGAGCTGGCATGTCCCTGGGGAACTTGGGCCTGACTTGGGGGCATGAGTGAGGCCTTTGCAGACGGTCATCACTGGCTGAGGCTATCTCATATTGTTAGGGAAGCGGCAGGGTTTGCAGAAGGAGGCCTGGTGGCACAGTGGTTAAATCCTCAGCTGCTAAACAAAAGGTCAGTGGTTCAAACCCACCAGCTGCTCGTTGGGAGCAAGACATAACAGTCTGCTTCAGTGAAGCTAAGGCTTTGAGGACACTAAGGGGAAGCAGGGTCGCTGCGAGTCAAAATCCACTTGGCCACAGTGGATTTGGAGAAAGGGTGCACATGCAGTGTCCCCCCCAGAGGAAAAGCCTGAGAATTTACTTCCATGGGGACTGAAGGAACTAAAAGTCATTCACATTGAATCAGATTTGACCCATAGCTGACCCTCTGGCAGGCTTTCAGAGGCTGAAGGAGACTGCCCATCTTTCTTCATGAAGCAGTTGGTGGATCTGAATTACCTGCCTTTGGGTTGGGAGCACAACTTGCTACCCCAATGCACGGCGCACAGTTCAACTTAGTCCCACAAGGTGTGGCCCTGAGTTGACCTGGGCTGGAGAGCAGCTGGTTTGCAGTTTTGTTTTTTTAGCATCAGAGAGTGGTGTCCGGAGGGAGCTGGGCGCCTCTGGTGGTGGGTGGTAACTGGAGGGAACTGGGCACCTCTGAGGTAGTGTCCAGAGCTGTCCCAGAGGCGGTGCCTCTCTGGTGGCTCAAATGCACAGCTGTTCCATGTGAAGAAAGTAGGCAGTCTTCCTCCTGCACAGTTTACAGCCTCTGAGCCCCCTGGAGGGTCAGTTCTGAGTTGGCTCGACTCGATACAATGCGTGTGTGGACCAGGGCTATTTTGACAGGTTGGACGTTGGGATGGGACACAGAAATGCAGAGGGGTCCTGACAGGGTCTTACTGGCTGGCGGCAGAAGAATTTAAAGTTACAAATCTGAAGTCCTGTCAACTTTTTCGGTTTCGCTCTATTTTCTTTGTAATTATATATCACAATTCAGAACTCAGACTTGCTGGTGTCAAGTCAGAACCACCTCACAGCTGAGCCTCCAGCGGGCTTCAAGGCTGTAAATGAGCAGGAGGAGACAGCCCATATTTCTCCTGCTGGCTTTGAACTGCCGGCTCCAGGCGGCATGTGGGTTAGCAGCAGGGTTGCTACAGACTCCGCCACCGCACCGCATCCGTCACAGCCAGCGCCCACGCGCGGTCATGACATTAGTGTTGGGCACAGCTTGTCTGTCACAGACTGTTCGCCCTCTGAGCAGCACTGACGGACGCTGTCTGCTGTGGGGGGGTGTGTCTCACTGAGTGGATTCAGCGTCTCCACACACCCTCTGACGTCTGGAGCTGCCCCATGGGGCTCCCTAGGCTTGAAGCTTTGTGACAGCAGCTCACCAGGTTATTGTGCCAAGGAGTGGCTGGATAGCTTTGAACTGTCAACCTTCTGGTTAGCAGGCCAACACTTAACCCACAGTGCCACAGGCCTCCTTATGAGAGACAGAGGAGTGGAGAAAAGCTCCTCAGGCTGCAGGCCAGGAGTGTGTCCACCATCCACGGAGCAGCGGCAGGTCCGGGGTGGCTGGTGCACAGTGTCTGGAGTGGGACGGAAGGGACTTGAGCGCCAAGTGGGTCACAACTCTGGATCTGCTCCTGGCAACCCCGTGTGTGCCAGGGGAGAAGGGTGCTCCGTGGGGTTGTCAGTCTTTGGGAAGTTGATTCTTCTGAGGTGCCTGCCTGTGGACTTCAGAGTCAAGCATCCAGGTCTGCCTCCACGCATAGGAGCCCCCAGAGGTCTTAGGGTCATCTGGGAACACCACCAGGCAGCCTGCCCCTCGGTGCATTACTAACAGCAGGAGGGAAAGAAGAGTCAAATTGGGCAAACCGTGACGTCGCCGAGTCGTTACTGTCTTGTAAACCCCCGTGCTTTCCATGGCTGGGCTCGAGACAGTTTGCTCTTTGGAGGTTGGCTGTGAATTAGGGAGCAAAGGCTGAGTGCATCTTCAAGATGCATGTGCCTCTGGGGGCAGTTCCGGATCCTGGGAGCGTCTGCTGTCAGAGTGCTGGCCAAGAAGGGGGGCTGGGACCGTCATCGATTCAGAAAAGCCCTGCACCTCCTGGTGTTGGGGGGCAGCCCCATCGTGGCCCATGTGTGGACGGTGGGTGCCCACAGGGCTCTCTAGGCTGGCATCCTTCCAGGAGCAGCCCCCCAGCTTTCCTCCTGCATGGCCGCTGGGTGGGCTTGATCCACAGCCCGGAGCATGCGCACTTGTGTCTGTTTCTGCACTTCCTGCTCTGTCCCTGACCCTGGCTGTCCATGTGTACGTGTCTCATTCATTTGCTTACAGAGCTTTAGTATCTGTTTCACCATCTCCTTCCATGCAGTTTCCAGCCTCAGAGAACCTGTTGGAGGCTCAGCTAGGAGGCAGTCCCAACTTGATGGTACATGTCAGCATTCTCTCTAGGGGGCTCTGGTGGCCTAGTGGTAAGGAGCTGCACTGTCGAGCCAAAGGCATGTGGTTCGAGTCCACAAGTTGCTCCATCGGAGAAAAATGCAGTCTCCTGTCTCACATTTTCAGCCTCTGGAAGCCCTGTGAGGTCAGCTATGGGTTGGTTCTGACTTGACGGTTCCCAACAACAGTAACGAGGTTCTCTCTCCCCCAACACTCACATTCACAGAATAGTTCCCCCACCCCCAGAATTTCCTGATTGCTTTCGTTGCTATCTTATGATGTGGATTTATTCTCTTGACTTAACAAATTTAACATATATCAAATTTGCTTTCGATGGCTGTTTTCTCCTTGGCTAAAGCACAAGCTTGCCGTGTGTCTTTATTCAGCTCTCAGGAAAGCAGGGCGACGGCCAGGCAGCCCTTAAGCCTCAGAAGGAATGCTAGAAGTTGAACTTGGAGCTGATCTCACCACCGTGGGGTGACCTCCAGCCAAACAGCAGACAGACCTCCCAGGAGAACATGACCCTGGGGCGGCCCTTGCTCCTTCGGACAGGGAGCCATGGGCAGCAACGGGCAGTGCTTGCCGCGAGGAGCCCGAGGGTCAGGAGGGTGGAAATATGGATGGGATGGGAAACAGGAAGTGTTCCTCATGTGTGAAAGGGAATCAGCTGCACTCTTCTAGGCTCGTCATGGGATTCTTTCATGTTTACATGTACAGATTTTTAAAGTTTGTTCTTTTTTGCGAAGAAAGGATCCGTTTCAGCACGTTCTGCCTACACGGTTCCGGCAGGCCCTTATCCAAGCCGCCTGCCTTCCTGCCGTCCTTTCCCTCTTGTTCACCATGAAGGTAGAGTCCCTGCTCTCAAGGCTCTGAGCCAGGTGCTTGCTGTTTTGCTGCGATCTACACACGAGGCACGTAGAGGTTGATTTACCTGGCTGTGGCCAGCGGCTGATGCTTGGAGCCGTGGTTTTAACCCAGGTTCTTGGGCTCCAGGACGCTGTAGCCTTCGCACCGTGCGTGAGGTGGGGCTCGGGCACTGACACCCTGAGAGCCCTCCTGTTAGATGCTGCTGGGCCAACCCTGCTTCCTGGCCACTCTGCACAACAGACCAGCTGCTTCCCGTCCTGCACCCACCTCACGGCCACTGCAGACGGGCCGTGTCAGTCCATGTCATGTAGGGTCTTCCTCCTTCGCACTGACCCTCTGCTTTTCGCAGCTCGGTGTCCTTCTCTGGCGGTGGGCCCCTTCTGGCAACATGCTAGTCCTAAGGTGTGAGGCGAAATCTCACCGGCTCTGCTTCTAGGAACGAGCTGGCGTTGCTCCTTCCAATGCAGATCGGCGGGCTCTTTTGACAGTCTGTGGTGCGTTTAATATTCTCCGTCAGCACCGTCCCTCAAAGGCATCAGATCTGGCAGAGTCTTCCTTGTTCATCATGCAGCTTTGGTATCATATGCGGCTCTTGAAACGCCATGCCTTCGATCAGGCTCCTTGCTGCCCAGGACGCAGCTCTCCCTCCACCACTGTAAGGAGCTGCCCACTCCCCAGCACAGTCGCCCAGCGCCGCACAGGCTTTGACTGCTGACTTTCATCCTCGAGTTAGTCCCACTAGAACTTTCTAGAAAGAACGCTCACCATCCGTTCGCGTTGGCAGTTTTGTTTCTTCCTCTGAAATCTTTATATCCTGTCTCTGTTTGGGTTCCTTTTACTTATTTATTTAATCATCCTGTTGGAAACCTCTCATATAACATGAATGGGGGCGGGGAGAGAAGGCAATCTTTGTTTTATTTCTCTCTCTAAAGGCTAGGTTGGCACAGGATAGAACAGCATTTAGAGCTCTTGTACATAGAGTTGCTGAGTTGCAAGCGACTCGATGGCACATAACAACAACAACAAAGACTCTCTGAGAGTTTTATCATCGTGTATGGTGTTTATAACATCTAGGGCTGGGCTGTGTTTGGTTTTTAGTAGCCATCCTGCATCAGGTGACAGCAAATTCCTTCTGACCTGATTTTGCTCATTGTTTTTGTGGGTTTGAGTCCTCATAATCATAAAGAAGCTTGATTTTTATCACATTACCTTTTGCATCTATTGGGCTATTTGTATAGATTCTTTTTCATTTTATCTAGTATTATGATCATATTATTGATATTATCTCTGTGTTTCTGAAATGAACGTGTGTGATCTTGATGTTGGTTCTGTCTAACTTTGTTTATTACTGTTTAGGTTGAGATTTCTCACATCCCTATTTGTGAGTCAGGCATTGTCTGTTATGGTTTCTGGTTGACCCTGACTATGAGGAGCTGGCTCTGGACCACCTTCTCCTCTGCTCCGTGGAGTCACTGTATTTATGGGAGTCACTGCATGGAGTCGCTGTATGTATGGGAATCACTGTATGTATGGAGTCACTGTAAGTATGGAGTCACTGTATGTAGGGAGTCGCTGTATGTATGGGAATCACTGTATGTAGGGAGTCACTGTGAGTCAGGCTTGACTTG